GTGTGCTGAATGTAGGTCAAGGGCTTTTGTGCTTTGCTTTAGCACACATCCTTTGGCAAAATGGGCTCTGTTAATGATCTATCAATTTTAGCATTAAATTACACCCAAATTACAGATAGAGCACTGCGTTCAGCACTTCGGATGAGTTGACTTTAAGGATATTTGGGAAGGAATGCAAATTGATCTGCTTCAAATTTCTTCAATTTTGCATAATGTTTTGGAAACACGTCTTTCCGTAAGATGCATTTAAATCAGCACGATAATTACTTGGAATATTAAAAGTACTGCAGTTAAAATGTATGAAATGTATTCAGAAGTCAAGGCAAAAATTAGACAGCCTTTAGAACAAATATTCTTCCTCTTCTTCTTCTTCTTCTTCTTCTTCTTCTTCTTATTATTATTATTATTACTACTACTTTCAGGCAGACTCTTTTAACCCCTTCATGTACAGACAATTCTTTGAAGACATGTTGGGCCATTGACTCTTATAATATTTTGCCTTTCTAATACTCAAATTACAAAAATCACAAATAACTTATATTATTAAAACAGTCATTATATTCAAGTTGATTTAAATTGAATTACTTAAATGCTTAAACCAATTCAATTCTTACAACTAAAATCAAACTATATTCTCAGTTTACATCACCTGCTGGGTGACCTTCACAGGTTCTGCCATATTGAGAATACACACTGAACATATACTCCATTTGAACACACCATTTGAACTTTCAACAATTCCAGGTTCTCAGTGGTACTATTTCACCATTTATTCATCAGAATATTGAGCAGAGGACCATGATGCTATGCTGTTTGTTGGTCTTGACCCCTTCTAGCAGAGTCGGGGGGAATGATCTACTCTTGGGAACATGCATTTCCCAGCATGGCTGTGAACGGCATGACACTTTGTAGTGCTTCTTCTAATCCATCCTGAGATGCTCTCATTCAAAATGGGGACAAATCACAACATGTGCTGAACATGCTGGAAGTATTTCCATGGATTCATTTGGTAAATGTTTTTAGATTTGTAAATCGAAAAGCAAGATGAGCTATGAGTTCTGAGATATAAACCCAACTTTCTGGCAACTAGAAGAGAAACTAGTACTGTTTCCTTTTCCTTTTGAATGGCAGATTGTGATTATTGATTCATGACTGTTAACATATACTTTCTCAGTAGTTCGATATAAAACAGGTTCTGGGATGGGGCTAAGAATGAGTTCAGGTAGTAGGTAAATAGTCTCCATGGCTTTGGATCAGTCATTCCAAAATGAAAGGATGACAATGACGAGGTTACTGGAATCACCTAACCTGCAAGCTAAGCTAGCTAGCAAGACAACTTATCAAATATTACTGATGTACAGATCATGTCTTGAGTTTACAGCCAACTACGGTGCTGTTGAATGCTTGATTCTGATTGGTGGGAAGAAGTTGATTAATTTTCAAGAACAACAGGATCTATAGTAACAAATTACACATGATCTTGTATTGTTAAAAGCGCTATACAAATCAGATTGAATTTAATTGAATTGAAGGTGGAAGCACTACATTAACAGATTTTTTTTTTAAATTAAGTATGTAATTGTTGATAAGATGATGTTTTCTGCCAGGGACCATTTAATTAGCATTTTTGGAAGGAGTCTCCAGTGTCAGCACAAAGTCAACACTTTGTAACAGTCAGAACTAAAACTGAAAGGTTACCTTTAATAAAAAAGAAGTCTACAGGACAGAGGACTTTACAGTTTCTCTATAAAAAGCTGCATTTTTTTTTTCTTAGTAGCTTTAAGAGAGAGAAAAACAGGGGCTGGTGAGGGAAGCTAACTATAATTAGTTGTTATAACATAAGTAATAACAGGAAATTTCTTGTTTCATGGAAGTTCCACAACATTAAATATAACTCTTGGTTATGATTAGTGTCATATATAATGTTATATTGGAAAATAATCATCTTAGCAGTGTTGAGAGTAATTTCATTTCACATCACATCACAACACTGTTGATTATTTTCCTATAATGTTTTATTCCTTACATATTCTATTATATTTTATTTTATTGTATTGTATTAAATTGCATCATTCTATGTTACTACTATTATTAATTAAATATATAAATAATTGCTTTTAACTGCATATAATGTGTGCTTCCTACAGTTTGAATGATTACTGTCCACCCTGACTGATCACTAAAAGCATTATAAAATGTCCAATTCATCTTTGGTCCAACGGCTGACTGCAATAATGACTCATTAAGCATTGTGTTTAAGTGATATTGGCCTCCATCATTTGCCAGGAACAAATGGACGCAGCTCCCCCCTTAACCACCCGAGTGGAACATAAAATCCAATCTAAAAAACATTTGCGTGAGGGAAAATTGACTCAGATAGATAGATCAAATAAATGAATGTTATGAATCCCATCAGAGGGAAGCCATTAGGGCCTATTTGCTTGTCATAACATTCCTTTTTGGTGATGACTTATTACTCTCATGGTTGCAGAGAAGGCCATAAAAAAGCAACCTTCCTTGCTCTGTTTCCCTAAAAATGCAGTTACAGGAAGAGATTGAGAAATAGAAAGCTGAATAAATCTAGCTGACTTGATTCTGTTAATGTTCTGGAATGTTGCGAGTTCAAATCCCTTCACCTTCAACTGCTTAGGTTGACCTCTGCCTCACTCGTAAATTGCATTAGAAACAAAACTAGAAATGTTAATTTAATCACAGTGCAGGCTTTTTAATATGCCCTTGCACAGTCAAGATCAACGTCAAGCCCTGTAAACCTAACTTGCTGGATTTGTGCATGTTTATCTGAGTAACAAACAAGATTATCTTAATTCGCTGCTTCCATTAATACTGCAGTTTTCACTTTTGCACAACCTTAAGACAAAAAACAATTAATAAATGAAGTTGGATTTCTGTTGAAAACTCAGCTGCTGTGAGTAATGAGTGACTTCTGTGAGGGGCTTTAATTGCTCCCTTTGCAGAAGAATCACACTTTCAAATTGAAAAATGGGCCATTGAAGTTTCCTCTACAGTCCCAGACAAACCAACGAGTGAGCAAACGAACGAACAAATGAACAACATCCCCTTTTGTCAGGAAACAAAAAGCTTTTCGACAAATTAAAGCTTATCATATTGTCAATATTGTGTATTAGCGTGACTCTAATGGCGCTTAATTGGCTCCTGCAAGAAAGTGAAGTCATCATAATATGAGATTCTGAAATGCACGCAGTGCACATCGATACTCAATTAAAGGAAAGAAACAGTGAAAGACTGCAGGAAGGAAAACGGGGAAAATGAGAATGATAATGCAATTACAGACTTTTAAAAAAAATACTAAATTGCTTGAAAGTATACAATGTATTTAATCTAAACACAATAGTTTTACCACAGTCCTTTAGGTTAGAGGTATGTGCTGGACTGTCATCTGTAATGCCACTTCCACCTACTCCTGGAAAAACTCTGACCAATCCCGCCTGCTCCATCAGAACATTAAACCAATCCCCCCTATTCCCCAAAGGAATTTTCACCAATTTTGCTCACTCCTGCATCAAGTTAGACCAATATAGTCAGCTCTAGAAGGAATTGTGACTAATCCTGCTTGCCCCTTAAAGGATTCTGACCAATTCCTCCTGTTCCCTAAGAAATTCTGACCAATCATGCTCACTCCCACAGAAAGTTAGACCAATCTAGCCATGTCCAGAAGGAATTTTGACTACTCCAGCTTGCACGTGAAGGAATTCTGACCAATATTCATGCTCCTACAGAATGGTACACCAATCCTGCCCAATTTGGACTCATCCTGCCTGCCCCTGAAGAAATTCTGACTGATCCCACCCATCTGAAAGAATGGGGGTCCTTGGTCCTCCCAGAAAGGTAGACTAAGCCCCCCCACTATATATATATAAAAAATATTACTTACTTAGGGTTAGGTTATAATTTCCCAAAATATAAACCGATTAGCAATTTAAACCCCAGCAACCGTGATCAGGATAAAGCATTTCCTGAATACAAGTGAAGGAATGTGGAATGAATATAAACTCAGGATAAACTCTCTTCCAGGTGCCCCACCACATTCCAAGTCAAACCTGTACCCATGACTGCAAAATTCAATATAATCACAATATACGACAAGCAACATTGACAACCCGCTTGTTTGAGCTGAAGATAAGTATGGCTGTAATTCTAGATGGTTTATCTTAACATATATTTCATCCAGTGTAAACATATCATGGTATAAACCCACCATCTGTCTTGTAAATATTTTACAATTCAACCACTGCAAATATACGCTCGATAAAAGGACACTGTAGATCACTTGGGCATTTAAAGCTTTCAGAAATGTGCAACACACAGTGTCAGTTTACACAGAAAAAGTGTTCTTATGTGCATAAATGCATTCAAGACATTTTAATATCTCAGTGGACCGAATGCTTTCGTCTGTGGATAGAAATAAAATGTGAAAATTACTCTAAACACAAATGAATCCCATTGGCTTGCCTTCCTGGATGAAAAAAAGCATATTTATTTTACCTCTGCACAGTGATTAACTTCTCATAATTACAGGAATAGAGTAGAATTTTCTTAGTGATCTCTGCTGAGCCTGTTCAGCAGAATCTGGTGGTGAATTATTGTAGATCAATTAGGAATTCATTCTAATCATCAAAACCGATGATTAGACCGATGGCTGCTGTACAAAACTGATGAAATGTTTGGTTTAATTAGCCTTGTTAATGTGCTGCTCGAACAGCTTCATGCAGCCCGGTGAATAATGTTGATTATGTATCAGCCTTAATGATGACTGTATTTATACATCAGCTATATAAACTTGTTGAAAGCAGAAAGGTGCTGTGAATATTGACAACCTGTAAAGCTTCATGCCCCTAAAGAGCACAGCCTGTCAAAATGCTACATGGTCACCATCAGCGGGTGTGTTTGTGATGTTTTTTTGGATCATTAACATGTTAGATAAATGTCAGTGACTGTGATAAATGTCAGCGACGTCTTAGGGCATTGGTAGCTCAGTGGTTAAGACGTTGGTCTACTGATCGGAAGGTCCTAATTTCAAATCCCAGCACTGCCAAGCTGCCTCAGTTGGACCCTTGAGCAAGGCCCTTAACCCTCAACTGCTCAGTTGTATAAACGAGATCAACGTAAGTCGCTCTGGATATTGCATCTGCCAAATCCCTTAGGATATCTATTATTGATAACCTTGAAATGGCAGAAAATGACACTACATCCCTAAGGTTGCTTTTGTCAACAAATCCTGTCCTCTTCGTAAGGAAATCTGACAAATCCTACCTGCTCCTGCATTATACCAATGGTACACACTCCTGAAGGAAATCTAACCAATAATACCTGCCCTCAAAGGAATTCTGACCAATCCTGCCTGCTCTCGCGGAAAGTTAGACCAATCCTTCGTGCTTCCTAAGGAAATTTGACCAATCCCACCATAGTTAGACTAATTTCACCTGCTCCTGAAAAAGATTTGACCAATCTGCATGCCCCCAAAGAAATTCTAACCAATACCTCTTGCAGAAATTAATCACGCCCAAAAATTCTGACCAATCTTTCCAATCTCTCAGAACGTTAGACCAATCCTGTCAGTTCTTAACGGAACCCTGACCAATTCCTCCTGCTCCTGCAAGAACTTTAGACCAATCCCTCCTGCTCCTGCAAGAACGTTAGACCAATCCCTCCTGCTTCTAATGGAATTCTGACCATTTCCACCTGCTCTTGAACAAGTTCTTATCAATCCTGCCTGCTCCCACAGAAGGTTACACAAATCCCACCTACTCCCAAAGAAATTCTGACCAATCTTGCCTGCTCTAAATTGTCTCTGCTGTAAAACAAATAAACAAACAAAAATATTATGTGATGTACTGTATTAGATATTAGATAATAGATGGACTTCTAATTATTATTAATGGCAAAAAAACACTGCAACATTGTTAACATATGTAGTTAATTACCATAATTTTATCATTAATTTTTCATTAGTAAATGATGTATCCCTTGCTTTTTATAGCATATTTTTATCATTAAATTCAAGGTTTTGAAAATATTTTAGTCATACAATTAACCTAAAAATAACACCTAAGGAAAAGTAAATAGTGAAATTATCAGACTTGATACAACATTTCAGTAATTATATTGGTCAATAATAATGTAATGTTAAGACCAAAAATAGGATTTTTAATGAATCTGCTATGTCGATTAAGCAAATATTTTGCAACATCTACAATACTGTTCTTGTTGCGTGTCTGTGTGGCTTGTTCTATTTTTTTGTATTCCAATATTCTGGCATTAACCACTCTACTATAAAATTCATACACACAACTGTGTTACCTTTGATAAAAATTTTATGTTGTAGTTAAACCCTGCAGGTAGAGCATGGCTTTTTATCTGTATTTCTGCACTAAAATAAATAAAATAAAATAAAAATAATAAAAAAAAAACATGAAAAGAAACTAAAGTTGTCAGAATAAGAGTTTCTGGAAACAATGGACTGCTGGATTGATCGAGGAACTCACTCAAACCAGACATTTGGATTTGTCACTTTACAGCATCATACCTCATTTGCATGGAACTTCATTTGTTGGCATAATAGAAAATACATCTTGTGCACTAGCATAAAAAAAATATCAAACAGCATGCTAAATATTCTCTAGTAAACTTTATGTCCATTCTTTGCCTTTTTAACTGTCTAAAACCATTTTCATATCTTCTGAAAGCAGGTCATAATTGACTATAGTAAAAACCCTGCAGCCTTTTCAAGTTTGCAAATCTAATGGAATCTGCGCTAATGTACTCAGAACTGTTGCCTCAATTTCACCATTTTCTTTTTTTTTTCTTTTTTTTTGCAAAAATTCAAAGAGCTTTAATCTGAGGCATGGACTGGGTTTTTAATTGATTCATTAATATGGATTCATTTGAAGGGCAAAAAAGAACATATATCCCTAAAATAAACTAGTTTTTGTTTGTGTATTTATCTACATAGTAATAGTACAGAGCACAATGTTCTCTTTTAAAACACCTACAACGGGCTACTTTAGGGATTAAACTTTAGAAACTTAACTCTAAAGACATTATCTAACAGTAACAGTTTCATTCCCTTGATTTGGAATTTTTTTGCAAATAAAATAAAATAATCAGATGTATTTGAAAAAAAGACCTTTGAAGGCGATGCAGAACATATGAATCATCCCATGAAAACACTCCAAAGGACCATCAGAATTTTTGACCCGAGCTGCACTTGATGTCAAATCAATATGGCTGCTCACAGCATCAACAGTAAACAAAGAGTAATACGTGTTGCTAACAAAACACAAACAAGAAGGCGTCCAAGGACGCTGAAATGCACAGGTCGAAAATGATAATCCCGAGCTCCAAATGCAAAACTCTGAGGTAAGTCAAATGCAGCATTCATTTTAAAATCAAGTAGAAACAAAACTAACACAAAGCACATTCTCAACCACACGACTCTGATGGGGTTTTAGGTAATAATCACTCAACAACAGTGTGGTGTCATGCACCCCAATCCACAGTTGCTTATTTTCTATTACAATTTTTTCCACAGCATTCTTTTTCAATTATTAAAGCATGTAATTATTAATGGATATTTTTTTTTATCCAATTATAGTTACATTTAATGATGTGGAACAATTTAGACAACCTAACTATCCTCTTTTTTCTCTCTGTCTTGACGTTAGCAAGTTCACGTAAACACCTGCAAAGACATCCGTTTACAGTTTTACCTCTAACACTATAGATTCCTTCCAACAACTTCACCAAACCTAGCCTTGTAGTCAGGACTAATATCATATCGAAAATGAATCAGCTTCTGACCAGTCAGAATGGAGCATTCAACAGCGCTCAAATCATGTGGTTATGATTGCTTATAATTAAGTAAAGAAAGTATGTACTGCTTAATTACTGAATTAATACAGAAATAATCATTACTGAAAAATTAACATAAAACATTATACTGTATTACCATTCCCACTATAATTATTTAGTAAAAAAAAAAATCAAGAACATGAACATTAATTTATGGATGTATTAAAGGACGTACTACTTGTTACCATGGTATTAGCCCACATTTAATTTAAAAACCAACAGACACTTAAACAAGGCTTGTTTTCTGCTGTATAATTACACAGCAGTTGCATCTGTCAGATGAAGACCAGCGAAAGTCTTGGGCCACTGCTTTACTCTAAATTATGGACATGATGCAATGATGCATAAGAACTTCACTTTGCCATAATGAACTTTAATGGCTGATGTTTTATTGAGGTCTGTCTGTCTTACTGGAGGAATTGCTATAATTATAGCACTCCAACTTAAGAGGCCCATAAATCCCAGGACCCACGTAGCAATATTTTATTACCCTTTTTTTTCTGGCACAGACTACTGAACTCTAGACCGTGCCATATGAATTATATATTGTCTCAAGCATTATTTCACCAAGTAGTGCAACGCGACATGTGTTTTAAAAACTGAGATTAGATTGCAGTCTGAGGTTATAGTGTGTCTGTAGATTAAATCCAGTACAGATGAGCTTCTTAAAGACATTCTGAAATTGTTATCATTTCAGCACTCGGGATTGAGCATGATTCATATGCGCTAATCATTTCAAAAAACAAAATTCTTCTACTAAAGTAACTTTTTTCACTGGGTAGGACTAATGGAAATGGAATAGCCAGTAATGTCATGTTGGGCTTTTCTTCAGCCAATCTTATACCTCGTTCACACCAGGCATTATGAATGCGTCTCCAGTGACTGGATTTTATATTTTAATTCCACATTGTTTCCAGTGATCGGATTTTATTCGTTGTTTCCGCTGAAGGAAATATATGTAATGCACATTTGTTGCGACAGTCTTCTGCGGCATTTCTTTATTAGGTTATGTTGAAATGTCCTGTGAATCCTATTTCATGTACCTTTATACTGGCTGTTTCAAAAAATGTAATCATGTGGTCTGTGAACAAAACATGACCCATGAAACTATGAAAAGCAAAAGCAGCTGCTTTTGTGTCTGTGTGTTACAGAATATAGACTTCCAGTCTCACAATGAATACATTACAATGCTGAGATGCATGAGGCATGAAATAATGTGTGGTAAAAGCAGAATAAAACAATGTTTTACGAAAATAGTCAACTTTAGGGTGGTAACGGTAACAATAAATAATTTTTTAAAAAGTATGTTTTTTTTGTAATCAATTTTTTTCACTGTCTTTAGGGATTTTTTTATTTTTTATTTTACTGACTGAGCCTTTAGGAAATATATTTAAACAATGATTACATTTATTCATATGACTGAGACTGAAAAAAATAATTAATTATTGACTCATGAAATATTTCGACTATTTCAGGGAAAACTTTTGTGACATTTTGAATAGTTTTAAAATGAATATTAAATATTTTAAATATGTGAAAAACTTTTTACATTTGAAAAAGTTGTTTATTTTCTATTGTGCTATTTTTTGTTTGTTTGCTTTATATATATATATATATATATATATATATATATATATATATATATATATATATATATATATATATATATATATATATATATGGTATCCAATAGTGCTTTACTCAAATAGAGATCTACAGTATTCAATAGTTGGGAAGGGCTAACAAATAAAAGTTAGTTTTCAGGGAAAGAAAAAAACACCACCTCTATACAAATGCACTGCAGCATATGATTGACTATTGAGTCGATAGCCAGAGCAAATGGGCACTACATCATTTAGCCTTATAGCTGGCGTCTGCTCTAAATAACATGGTCTGAAAACAATCTCTCGCCTGACAGCTCTCGTGCTCAGTACCGTGTATATGATCTAGCGAGCGTATCGGCTTCTCTGTCGCGCCTCTTTGTTGTTTCAGAGCAAATGGATCGTTTTCTATGATGAGATCTATCATCGCATGACTGAGTTCATGGCTAAGTGGGTCAGTGTAAAGAGCACACGCTTACAGTACATACGAGTCTTGGTAACAACTGGTGGAAATACAGGCTGGTGACAAATTAATGGAAAAACTCTTTTATACTCCAAACCAGTCAGAGTTGTCCTGGTGGGA